ATTTTGCTTGCTGGACCGCGAACGAAAGCTTGTGGAATCGACTGGTGGATTAATAAAAGGGGTAACCTCGGTTTTAGCTCGATAAGCAATTTTAAAACGCGACTTTGCGATTGGAAGGGTCGATTTTCAATCAAGTTCCCTAGGATTTAGACCTCTTCCTCCTCCTCCTCCTCCTCCTCCTCCTCCTCTTTTGCTTCAAAGGGAGACGAGAGAGGCACGACAGAGGGGCGTGTGTTTGCCTCTGCTTTCTCGTATTTCCTCTCGTACTTCGCTCGCCCCAGTTTAACGCCGCATGTAAGAGCGATTTGCTAATCTTGATTGATCGAAGACGAGGTTAGAGAGTTGAGAATCGAGTTAGAGGAATCGAGCGAATTTTTATCGCGATGAAAAATATTTATGTTATACGCGAATACACGGTGCTGCTTCGTAATCATAAACAGCGAAAATTTAGGTCTTAATTTTTCTAGGATCAAAAGGAACGTAACGAACGTGGAGGAAAAAGAAAAATGTTTCGATGTTTCGGAAGAAATCACGCACGAGGCCGGGAATCTCGTCAGAGGTTCGTTTGACGAGGGTTGTAACCTCGGACGATTAATCATTCGGTATTAATTAACCGAGGCAATCGGTGGTGCTGCCCTCTCCGTGCGTCGAGAGTTGGAACGTTTCCAACGCGGATTCACCCCTTTTCGAGATCGCTACTTTCCACCTACAAGGTCACGGTCTTTAACTTTTTACAACGGCCTCGACTCGAACCCCTTAATTACCGTCACCCTTTCGGATTAATCGGTTCGAATACCTTCGATCGACGATCGAAAAAATCTCTAAAAGTTTCGATGCAGCTCTAAGCGCTGCAAAAAGATCTCGCGCCAATTTTTCCCCTTCTATTCCCATCGAGAAGTAATCGTGTCTCCGACAGGACACGAGGGGCCGAAAAGCCAAGACGACTTCGGAGGAAAGGTATCGCGGTTTCGTCGTTGCGAAACTATTCCAGAACCGAGAGCCGTCTGTGTATATATCGAGGTACCGTTCTCCCGGTTCGTTCCACCATTATACACGAGCCGAGAGAACAATCTCGAATAATCTCACGTGTGCGATCCTCCGTGCCCCGGAGTTTCCATATCGTCGTTGCAAAGACCGACTACCGCTGAAACACGACTTTGGACAAGTCTGATTTAGAGATACGAAACCCCTCGAACGAACTCTCTCCGCTTCTCTCTCGGAGAATCAAACTTCCCCGAGAATCCCCCTCCCCGTATGGGGGAATGAATGAATCATCCTCGAGGATAATTTTAATCGAAATTTCTTAAAGAAAATTTATCGCCGCCAATTAGAAGAGAGGAGGAGTGCGGGGAGGAGGGTGAAGGACGAAAGTTTCGCGCCGAAAATTCGCTCGACGGGGAGGAGAGGAATCGGGCGCGAGGAATTGAATAATACCGTGCGAGTAGGAAATTGGATGGAAATCGGTGATAAAGGAAATCGTTATTTAAACGTGGCGGCCACGAGGATGCCCCCGGTAATTAATAACCGAACAAGTTGCCGCTTGCAACGAGGGGGGGGGGCGGAGGGGGGCTAATTTCGGCTGATTACTTTGGCAACGATTACTGTCGGGGGACTTTGCGCGCGTACGTGATTCTGAAGTTTCCGTGAGCGGCCTGCTAAATCGTTAATTACGATCACCGCGATTAATCACTCCATTGCCGGCGACGGCCATTTAACCGACACGCCGCCGGTCAACTCAACGCAACATGTAAACAAGATTTAAAAGCGGGGCCCGATTTTTGGGAAATGCTTGATTTGCTCGGATGGATCGAACATTTTTTTTTTTTTTTTGCGCGCGCGAAACGTGTGTGTGGGGCAAGGGATCGGGTGGAAAAGTAATTTTGTTCTCGTTGTTCGGTCACGCGTTTCTTGTAACTTTTTTTTTTTTTCCCCCTCTTCCTCTCATTTGTGATTAAATTTTCCTAATGGCGGGTATGACACGGATATGACAAAAAGGTGAGAGATTTCGCGGAGAAATTAATCTTTTTGACAGGTTAAATAATATTGTGTATATATATATATATATATGTATAGATTTTTGTATCTTTGTTTATTTTTTTTTTTTTATTAAGTTCAAATGCTTTCCTAATGGGAAGAGGTGTAATCCAATTAAGAAGGGATGCGTCTCTTCTTTGCCAAATCTTAGTTTTTTATTCTTCTTGATTTAAATCCAAATTTAAAAATGGTTTTAATTCGCCGTGGAACGAATCGCAATTGTTAAAAAAATTTGAAAACGAAAGGATCGACGATGGGAGAGGAAACGGTGAAAAAAATATTCGAAAAATTCGTTGGTTCGTTTCGATTCAGTTCGATTATATCGATCTGTTCGATCTTGAACCGAATAAATAAATTCTCGACGTTATTAAAAATCGAGCCGAGCTCATGATATTAAAATACGTTTTTACGTAGATTTGGAAAAAAAAAAAAGTAATAATGGATACGACTATCTGACGACGAGAATCGAGAGCGGAAAACGTATCTGATCGCTTACGAGTTCATTTTTTTTTCCCATCGTTTTTACAACGCGTTATTACGCGTTTTACTTATTTTGCCCGGCCGTGTAAATCGAATCCAACATCGTAATCGATCCACGAGCAAGAATCGCGCTGGAAATCGATCGATGCGTGATTTTTTTTCCATGTTTTTCTTTTTTCCTTTTTTTTTTCTTTTTTTTTTTATTTCGTCCATTCGACGCGTTTCTACGCTCAAATTTGGAAATTCGATTCTTCCACTGTTTGTGTATCGCGTGACTCGATTACCATTGTTGATCGTCACTTAAAAGCTATATACACGCACAACTGTATTACTCGACTATTATCCTATCACCACGATTTTCGCACGATTGCGATTATTTATTATTCGGTAAATTACGGGAGCAAGAAAAATGTAAATTTAAAAATTTTAAACGATAGTTTTAGCGTAAAACGAGATTTTATATATCTTCGACCGACTCGTAATCAGATTCTGACGAACCAAAGATTCTCTATTCGGAATAATCGGAAGAAAATTCATCCGGCAAAAGTTTCTCCGATCTCTTTCTTCAATTTATTCCAAAATTCTAATTCTTCCCTCTCCCCCGTGCCAGCCTCTCGATTTTCCTTTCCAAAAGTGGCGATGCGAATCTCTTTTCTTTTCTTGCTGCTTCTTCAATGTTAAACATCGAGGAGCGGATCGTTTCCACGCCAGCGTAGAATTAACCACACCAGGTCCCTCCCTCGGTTGCATTAACTTTCCGGATCGCGACCACCCTCCAGCGAAATCCAATTCCGGGGAATGCGGTCATTTTCGCGTCTCTTTCCATCTCTGCCTCTATCTTACGTCGCCCTGGGTTACTTGCACGGTTACACGCCACCGCAACCGAACAAATGGAACCCGGTATTCCCTCCCAACATTATGATAGAGTCGCTTTTGCCCCAACTCGAGATGGGAAATAGGTCTCGCAAATTGTTGGAGATGGGCAGAATTTCGGGGCAAGTGAAAGCAGCAAAGGGATATCGCTCGATTGATTCGTTCGGTCGCTGGAAAAATTGTGATCGAATTGTGGGAAAGAATTTCAATCCGTTAATTTAGGGAAGATTATGGGGTTGGAAGTAAAAACGGATCGATCAGAAGTAAAATAAAAATAGGGGAAGAAGAATAGTGTAGCAAATAATATAGTACGAAACTATGTCTGCCTCTTCGAATTACAGTAACCACGACTCGTAACATTGCTCGAAGAATTAGAGAGAGAAATTAAAGGAAACGTATCATTCGAAAAAACGATACATTTACCCGTAATAATACCAATACGTAATTTCCACGAATAAACGAGGCATTTTCTCCAAATCCATCCATCGATCTAAAGAATCTAAAGGAAACATCGGCAGAGAGAGAGAGAGAGAGAGAGAGCATTGTCCCTCGAAAGAATCGGCGTGGACGAGACACGGCCGATCCTATCCCATATTCGTGTGGGCGGGGAGAAGCGCGAAGATGTCACGTCGTCCAACACGTGTATATACGCGCAAGGCAGGCAGGGAGGGGGAGGCAGAGAATTTGGCACGATATCGGGGCCCAGCGCGACGCGGCCGGCCAGCGCATTCGTGTTCGCCGGCACAGCCGGGGGATTACCGATGAGGCACGTCGGATTACCGCAGTTAGCGGTGTTCGTTAGACCACTATTTTAATTAAGACTATTATACGCGCGCTCGGCTATTCGTATCGCGGCTGTTACGTGCGCGGACCGTTAAAACGAGAGCACCCGCGACACCGATTCGTTTCCGCGGCCTATCGATCGCGATTATCCACGCGCCACCTACCGTCGCAACAGCCCGTTTGTTGGAGGAGGAGAAGCTTGCAAATTTGTGGAAGTGATGTAAATAATGAGAAGAAAAGAGGGTTTGCGCTACGATCGGTATGAATCCTCGCGTGGAAGACATGTAATGCGTGTACTGTCTTTGTGCTCGGTGCATTTATTGAAAATGCAGGGAAGAGAGATAAGGGATATCTAGTTTCTATCTCTGTTATTATACCAGTGGAACGAATTCGTTGGATTCGTCGAACGAATTTCTGTTTTCTTGTTTCTCCCCTCCCCATTATTTTTTTTTTTAAAATAGAAGAAGAATAATTAACCGAGAGATAGATTTAGGAAAATGGAGGATTTCCTGTTTGATTGGCGAAACGAAGCTACGAGTTCAACTTTTCACCGAAATAAAGTAACTCCTCTTCTTCAATTATCGAATTTGGATTCGCAGAAGAGGAAATAAAAATGAACCCTCTATTCATCGCGTGTGAAAAACAGGAGCAAAATACGCTCTTCGATTGATACACTTGCATCTCTCAAATTTCCGTTCCATTGCCATTATTATTACCCCTGTATCCTAAAACTTCTTCACGATTCTCATTCCAACGATCTGTCGATAACCCGTACACACTCCCTCTCTCGATCTATAATTCGCGCGAAATGTGATAAAAACGTCACTCACCTGGTTGCGATCAATTGGCAGGTGATGCTGGGCGAGGCCCAAGCTTCCGGGCTCCATGGGGCGCACTCGTACAGCCTGAGCTCCCTGCTCGAGACGGCCCCGAACACGCTGCGCCATCCCCCGGTGCATCCGAGGCCGAACCCGCTACCCGCTCCTCGCGAGGTGCTCGCGCTGCTCCCGGCTCCGTCCTCGCTGCTCTCGCTGCTGGCACGTCCGTTCTGTGGACAGATCGCGCGCCCTCGTAAATCTTCTCTGTTCGGGGGAAGGTGCATGCACGTGCACGACCGGTTTGATCACGGCGGAAATCGTGATCCGGCACGATTCGTCCGCCCCCTTCTTTCGGCCCAAATTTGCGCCGCGGAGAGAAATTATGCGAGACACCTGCTCGGCCACGATAACAACGCGCGCCACCAATTTGCGATTTTCTCGTTTACTTGCGTTTACCCCGTCCACGTATGTGTGTGTGTTACGTTTATGCGTGGTGCGCGCGTGTGTATGTAAATGTGACGTTAGAAGAAGAATTCGAAACTGAATCGTTATCGATCAATGGTAAATTTATATATATATATATGGAAAAGTATCTGCGATCTTGGTGGGATTAAAACGGTAAAGATGTAATTGATCGAAAGCAGATAGAGAGAGAGAAACAATATATGGAAAAATTGTTGCGAACAATTAATTGGCCGAATTCGTGTGCAAAAGAAATAAAATTCTGCCAGTTTTGAAAGTAAACTCGTCGCATCCTATGTGTATCGTAACGAATCGGATATTAAACTCGAAAGAGAAGGCGAAGGGAGGAAAGAAAGTATTTTGCAGCGTATTATCGTCGAGATAGAAAGAAGGAAAGAAGAAAAAAACGCATATATAAGACGCATTGACAGCTCTCCTCTCTGTTGGTCGCATTCCAGACATGCGTCGTTCTCGGAGACGACGGAGACGAGGGTTGGAAAAGCGCGGAAAACGCGGCGGAGAGCCGTGTCTGCCGTTCAAGAAATGTAGCCTCATAAGTGTCAAGCGCATTTTCCCGCTGCCACTTATCCAAGAGACAATATCGAGCGGCTGAGGAGCGCGTGGCCTGCGCGCCGGATGCAACCATGTTAACCCCCCTCGTGCACCCTCTCTGTTTGTGTCGAGGGCTGGCGGTTTTCGGCCGGGAACGGAATGCAGCCAGGTAGATGCAGCAGGACATTGTGCCCTCTCCGTGCACCCCGCAGGGATGATACATGGTGGATTAATTGAACTGTCGAATATTGACATTCCGGTGAAAACGGTGCGTGTTTACGTCGTGATGGTGCCCCGCGCCTTTGTGCATTACTCCACCCCAGATTCGATTCTGCTTTCCCCCGTTCCTGCCCCGTTCTTTGAATTTTCTCCTTTATTCGCGCGTATTAATTCGTTTCTCCCTTCGCTCACATCTCTTGTCGACGTGTTCTAACCGTTTCGATGATCCGATATCGTTTCGCAGTATCCTCCTCGGCCCACTTTCCACTCGATCGTACACAATCGGTTTAATTTGCAAATATTCGGATCGAGAATATATACAAATAAGCGAATCGACTCGAATCGAACGAACGATAATCTTATTCTTAAGAATGGAAAGAACGGATGGAACCTTTTTACATTTTTCGAACGCATACCATAGTTTCGATTAAACTCGTGTCTCGCCGAGAAGGATCTTTCTTCGCAATTTATATTAACAAATCGCAACCCGTGTTTCTTGTATGTTTGATTATTCGATCGTACACGAGCCTTCTCTTCTTTCCTTTTTTACATTGCGTTCGACGCGGTTCCATTAAAATCCGTGCCACGGCGCGCAAAGGGGCGCGTTCGGTTCTCCCCGCCCGGTTAATCGTCGATTATATCGGACGGAGTGGTAAAAGCGGGCAAGCAATGCTTATCCAATTTGTTCTTCTGGGGAAAAATGGAAGGAGAAATGGAGCGCACGCGAGTAACGGCAATTAACCGTTATACGCGATACAACGAAATCGGGATTTTACCCTCCCTCTTCACCCCTCCCCCTCCCTATTCTTCAAAGGGAAGGCCTTATAATTTTTATTTCACGGAGATATTCGCTCTTTGTCCGTCGAATCGTTTTCGACTCCTCTCTTTTTCCATGTCGTTTTCGCAATATCCTTCCTCCCGCGAGATCAGGTTGACAAATCGAGCGATGCTCGATATTTCAAAGCGATCCCGCGCGATAAAAGCGGGATTATCGACGAGAATCGTCGTCCCTCTTAAACGTCGATTTAACGTCCAACGTCTTTCCGATACTCGCCTCTTAACTCGACCTTAATTCAAGAGGCATCAATTTTCAGGCCGGCGATGTGGACGCGCGAGGTCAGCCTCGATCGGGGATGAGCGATATTTTGAGTAACTTGGAGTCGTTGAGATGGCGATGACGATGGCGATAAGCTCTCTCGAGTAGAAACAAATCTTACATCTTCCATATACATTCTTCAATTTCTTTTTCTCCCTTAGATATTTTTGCAATTGTTGAAAATCAAAATTGTAGAGATAGCAGGATGGTGGAGCCGGAAATATCTCGCCTCGTTGCTCAAATATGTATACGAGCGAGGGAAATTGCCCTGTTTACGTTTTGCGAGAGGCTTTTAAAGCAGGGCGACGATAATGGGACGGGTTTTGCCCGCATTGCTAGTAAATTATTCGCGACTAATACGGCGATCGTTGGAAGCAAGAGGGAGAGGGGACAAAGATATCTTGCGAGGCATGAAAGAAGCCACGGAACTGTTTTCGGTTTTGCCGGGGACAAAGAGCTCGTTAAGGATCGATGAAAATTTCACCGCGGTCCGAGCTCCCTTTGACGCTGTCGTTCCCGACTTTGACTCGATAAAGCAGGGGATGGGGGGGGAGCGAGGATCGGGAAAATTTGCCGTTTACCACGATACGTTGTTGCACGCCGCTATTAGCGGGGCCGTGCATCCACCGTGCAGATTATAATAGGAATGTGAATTTTCTATGCACCCGTTATTGGGGCACGCGTGATAAGGGGAGCGTGCCCGCGATAAAGGAGGTATCTAGGGGTGTAATTTCGAAAATTGTTCATTGTCATTTATGGGATATCGTTCGATATCGCGATTACGTCGAAACGAATAATTTCTCAAAGAATTTTATCGTTTCACGGTTTGTTTTTCCTCTAAACCTCGCGTAAAATTCGTATTTTCAACATTTGATGCGAACACTCGAGATTTTATTCCCTACAATTAGTTTAAATTAACCTAGTCGTCGATAATTGACGACGAAACTTCGATATTCGTAATACAAGTTCGTCGTGAAGATGATGCACAAAGAAGATAAAATACGATTGTGGAATGGACGTGCGTAGAAGAAGAAACAAGGGATGGAACGATAGTTACATCCATTTCGGGGCAAAGAAGGCGCAAACGAGTCCAGGCGTTAATTACCGTATAAAGTGAAGAGTCGAACGAGGAGGAGGAGTAGGAAGCAACTTTTCTCCGCGGAGGAACAACGTTTTCGTTGGGGGAAAGAAGCGAGCAGGAAGCCCCGTTCTTCAAGAAAATTAAGCCAATTAACCCCTCGAGCTCAAGAAAGAGAGAAAGAGAGAGAGTTCCTTTCAGCTGGCAGCAGTCCAGCGATTCCGCCAATCCCCTGTTTCAGGGGAAAAACCCAGCGTAGCCTGTGGCTGGCGATCCACCGTCGTCGTCGATGAAACTTTCCACGATGCGTCTTCCAAACCATTTCTGCAAACAGTAATTAAACCCTTTCCGCGATTAATCAAACGTCTCTTTCCTTTAATTTCTCTTGGAAATTTTCCTCCGAGAATACACCGAGTCGCGAATATTACACTCTCGTCTTTCCTTTTCCATTTTCTTTTTTTTTTTTTTTTTTTTTTTTCTTTCTTTATTATTATATTTCTCGCTTGTTTCTACGTATTTTTTTTGCCCCCTCCCAAAAGTGTAAACAGAGAGAGAGAGAGAGAGAGAAAGAGAGAGACCTTTGCTCGTATCGGTATTCGCATCGTCAATTGACGACCAGCCTCGAATATATTCGGTCGATCGCGATTCTTTTCCATTCATCAACCGTTGTTGTGTTCGATTCTGTAACGCCTCGCGCTATCGCGCCGTGGCAATAATAACGAGAAGGAATAATGGTGGCCGGTGAAAAGCTCGATGAATATGGTTCGTTGGAGTGCAGTCGATTCGACTCGTATCGACGAACGTTTCTGTGTCGAAGGGGAGGAAACGATCGTTTCAAACATTGTGCAATTTCTCTTCCCTTTCATCTTTTTCCTCCTTTTTCTTCCTTTCTTTTCTTTTCTTTTTTTTTTTTTTTTTTTTTACTATATCCCTGACCAGATAAAAGAAACATCCTCGACGACGAGGAAAAAAGGCGTTTGTTGTTTCTCGATTAAATTAATTTTTAAATATGACACGATCATATTTCCATTTGCATTTGTAAAGTGTCAATAAGATTTCCAAGATGTGCCTGTATATATATGTATATATGTGTATATACATATACACACATCATTCACCACGGAGGAATATTTTTCCGGAAATTGTTTGCGTGCGATGGAAACGTTGCGCGATATCAACGATTTATTGCAGCGTTAAATGGCTCGAGATCGTTTTATACTCGAAAATTAACGAGAGCCACGAAATCTCCGTTGGAAACAATTTCGGGATCCCGAGCCGGGAGAACGATTTCGATAAGACGAAGAAAAATACCCGGGGGTATCTCGAATCTTGGCGAGCTCTAGCGAAACAAAGATCGGTACCGACGATAGAAATTATTCAGAAAAAAGCGGAAAGTTTTACCAGGCATTTGCATGGTAATACACCGGTTGTTAACGTTGCTCTATTAAAACGGCGATAAAAACACCTTAACCGTGTATGCGATGTATGTTACAGAAAAATCCAAACTTGTTGTTGTCGAAAGAGTAAGTCGAATAAATCTGAAAATGATTTTTTTCGAGGAGCGAAAAATTCGAAACTACAGGGAATTTTAAACGGAATTATACAACTTTTTATTTAAGATATTTCTCGACAATTAAATTTACACGAACTTTTCTTTTCATCTGCTACTCGATGACAACATTATACTATAAGTTTCATATAGTACGCGAGTGTAAGCCGGTTGGTCGAAAAATTCATTTACCGTTCCTTGGGGTACCCTTCCGCCGTTTAAAAGAGGCAGGGATAACCGATGTTCCGTGACGGGCTACTCTAAAGGGTTAATAAAATTGGCCGGGTAATATGCATACTTGCCTGGAACTTGGGGAAATGGCCGGTGG